GGGGGGAGGGGGGAGGATGAGGCAGGAGCGAGCAGGGCCGGGGTGGGCCGCGGCGGGCCAGGACGCTCGCCCCGGCCGCGCTGTGGGGATCGCGACGTGTGTAGTGTAGACGCGAGGCGGGGGAGGGGTGTGTGAGGGACGCGCGGTCACGTCGGTCGCGGCGGCCCGGGCGTCCTGTGTAGCGGGGCAGGGACAGACCGGCGTCACGCGCCGGCAGGTGTGAGCCGAGGAAGGGCTTCCGGGTGGGCCAGCGGCGGTCCGACCGCTTCGCGTCGCCTGGGGCCCTCGGGAGCTGAGTCTGCCAGGCTGTGGGGCGCGAGCATCCGGTGTCCCCGCGCAGCGGGCGCGCAGGCTAGTGTGCGGGACCTGATGGCGGGGTCCCATGACCATCCCGCGAGAGCTGCGCGAGGGGCTGCAGGGAAAGGCCAAGCTCACTTTGGAGGAAGAAACAAATGAGTGGCGGAGGGATGACAGGGTTGGAAACAGCACCGGGGAGGGTTTGCCACCTTCCGCTGCTCCAGCGCCCTTTAATTTCAAACTAACGGATTTCTTAGTCCCCAATGGCTATCTGCTCCAGCGAAATTCACTGCAGTGGCTAACGACCCCCAGTAACAGCAGCCTTGAACACAACTCACCGGTGCATCTGGGACTTTTAGCTCCATGCTTTCTCATGTGTCTTTTGACTCAGTGAGTAAAGAGTACCAACCAAAACGCCGTGAATAAAACATCATGAGTATGTTCTTAACAGTTAAACACAGCAGCAAGCAAAAGTCGCACATCCTAGCCCTTTGTCAAGGTTTAATACCGTTTCTCTCCATTTGTGAGAGTTCAGTTCTTGACTTTAAAACTGTATGTGTTTATGGCGAGTCGTAAAGAGAGAGGACGTGGACAGTGGACGTTGTCTTGCACTTGTGCAGTGCGAGGCATCGCTGTAGTAGGTGGGAGGGCTATCAGTGTAGTTGGCCCTCCAGGTAAGCACATTTACCAGTATCCAGAATACAGGTGAGACGGTTCTGTCCCACTTGGTATGCCGCGGTGAGGGTTGGGATGCCTGCCTGTGTTTTCCTGTTTTGTTTGGTTCGTTTCTTGAGACAAGGTTTCACTGTGTAGCCTTGGCTGGCCTGGAACTGCTACGTAGACCAGGCTAGCCTGGAACACAGAGATCCGTGTGCTTCTGCCATCTGAGTGCTGAATTAAAGAGGCCCGGCTTAGATCTTTACCAATTTTTAAGGGATGTCGTAACTTGATTATTTGAGCAGTAGTTTCTGATGGTACTTAAAGGAGTAAGGAAATGGTCTACGCTGAATGTGTGTTAAACCATCATACCCTTGAAATCTTACCCTCAAATAGAAGTTCTTAAATGTTTTAAAATCAGAGCAATACTTTTGTTCGAATGTCAGAATTGGCTAACATTTGTTGCATGCTTACAATGTTCCACCTTCTCTGTTACTTTTGAAATCCTTACCTTGGACGTAGGGGCAGACACTTTCACTGTTACAGGGATGAGGACAAGAGCTATACAGCTAGGGTTACTCTTTGGTCTGTTTGGTTTTTATATGTTTGTTTGTTTTTTGCTTGTTTTATTTTTGCCTCCTAAATTATCCAGAGGGAAAATGGCAAAAGGAGCACTGAGAAGCAGAGAAAGATAGGAAAGGAGAATCCACTGGTAATATAAAGTTGCCTGTACCTGGCTTAAGAATTTAATGTTAAATTGAGACCATTTGTTTTAGAATTAAGCACCTTTAAAAAAAAAAACAGAAGTACATCTAACTTTTGTTTCTTCGAAGCTCTTTTTTTCTTTCATTTTTTTTTTAAGAATTTATTTCCTTAGGTCTTGCTATGTGGTCTTACTGGCCTCAGACTAATGCTCCTTTTGCCTCAACTTCCCCAGTGCCTGAATTACAGACCTTTACTACCATGTCTCAAGAGCTAGTTCATCGTCTTCTTTCCCCTCTGCGTGGTGTTGGTGGTTTGTTTGTTTGTTTGTTTTTTAAATTTCTCTTTCTATATCCCAAGATGTCCTGGAGTTCACTCTGTTGGCCAGGCTGGTCTTGAACTCTTGGCCACTGTCCTGGTTTAGCCTTCTGAATGCTGGGATTATAGGTGTAAACCACCATGCCCAGCTTCTGAAGACCTTTTCTTCCTGTCTCTGTCCACTGATTCCTTATTCCTGCTCAGATCTCTGAGAGCTCCTGTTCATTTTTGTTGTTAGCAACTTGTGATTCAGGGCCATGTCTGTTTTGTTTGCCCCGTCACCAGAGCCTGTCCAAGTGTCAGGCATACAGCAGAGTCCTGGAAGTATTTCTTGGTTATGTTATGATTTTGGCTTTTACGCTTATTGTTTATTGTTATATTTTGATTTCTTATAGCCTTGTCTGCCTACCTCCTCCTGGTAGTGTCTGGGATTTGATAGCACTCTTTCTGTTGCTGTGGTTTGTTTTGTTTTGCTGTTTTGTTTTTTTGAGACATGATTTCTCTTTGTAGCCCTGTAGACCTACTCATGCTGTAGATCTGGCTGGCCTCGAAGTCAGTGATCCACCTGTCTCTTCTGCTTTAACCTGCTGGGATCAAAGGTGTGCACCACCACTGCCTTAATGCCACTCTTAAGAGAGCTTGCCACGTAAAGATAGATGTGAGAATCCTGTGTTGATCTTGCTGCATTCAGTGAGCATTGCATCCTGGTCCTTCATGCTGGGTCAGTACTGCACCTGTTGAGTGAGCATTGCATCCTGGTCCTTCAGCCTGGGTCAGCACTGCACCTGTTACTCTTCCCTTGTCTCAGCTGCTTTTGATTTCTTTCTCTCTTCAGCATGTTGTTTCTAGAGTCCTCGTATAGGTTCCAGCCGAGTAGCCTACTTGCCCTTTGACATTTGCTGCCTTTGACATTGACAATTGCCTCTAGTGTTTCACCCCTACACATTGCCCCCACACTAATCTTCCTGAAACATTGCTTTATGTTTTCTGCTCCCTCCCAAATCCACCACAGACACTTAGATTGGAAATCCTCAATGGTGTTTGATTGCTTAAAGGGTTTAAGTGCTTTAGCCTGCTATTTACAGATCTTTGGACTACTACTGTCCAATAGAAATAGAAAGCAAGCCACAGATGTAGATCACATATATAATTTAAATTTTTCTAGTAGCCACATTAAAAAGTAAAAAGAACTGGTAAAATTGATTTTTGTAACACTTTATTCACTTTAAAACATCCAAAATCTTAGTATTTAAATATGTAATTACAAAAAAAGAAAAGTTCAAAAAACTAGTACTGGGATATTTTAACAGTCTTTTTTTTCATGTTTAATGTTTTAAACCTAGAATGTATTTTTCACTTATTACATCTCAATTCACATTAATCACATTTCAGGTGCTCTATAACCACATGTAGTGGTTACCTCATTGAACAGAATAGATCTAAACTATGCCTTCAGCATCATTATTCAGACCTAGGTAGTGCCAGCCACCATCCTTTGCATACTAGATCCCCCCCACCTAGAAACAGCTTCGTTATCTAAACATGCTAAATTTCCTTGCTGAGAAACATAGGGAAACCTGAGAACTCTAGACTTTAATTCTTAACATCTCTAGTTGTGCACATGTGTACAGATGTGTAGATGTGTATTTGAATGTATGTAGTATATACCCACCTAGTCCAGAAGAGAGCACTGGAGCTGGGAGCTAGACACAGGTGGTTGTGAACTATCCATGTGGATGCAGGGATCTGAACTCTGGGAAGGCTGTGAGTGCTTGAATCTTTCAGCCATCTCTCCAGCCCCTTATATGGAAGTTTTTAACATTATTGTTTTTCTTTTTTTGAGATGAGGTCTCCTTTGTTGTCCAGGCTGGCCTGGAACCCCTGGGCTCAAATGATTCTCCTCCCTCAGCCTGCAGCATAGCTAGGACTACACATAATACATCACCATATCTGATTTAATGTCTTCTTTTCATGCTATTTTTTAGAATGCAACTGTTTATAATCAATTTGTGTGTAATCACAAGTGATAAGGCACAAGCACTAACTCATGATTACTTGATGAATTAGAACCAGTGCCAGCAGCACATAGCCTCCCTCTTTTCATTCCTGTGTACCTGCTGAGTAACAGCGTGATTACCCTGGACTGTGTATGTGTTGACATCTTCCCCCGTTACATGTCTTAAGAACCGAGTTTTTTTTTTGAGAACAAAAAAAAAAAAAACACAGGAATTTTTGTTCCTGACTTGGCATGTGCTAGAAAATCTACTTATTTTGAACAAATGCCACCTTATTAATTTATTATTATTTTTAGACAGGGTGTATCTGTGTAGACTTGGCTATTCTAGAACTCTCTATGTAGACCAGGCTGGCCTCAGACTTACAGAGATACATCTGCTTCAACCTGAGTGCTGGAATTAAAGGTGTGCACCACTATACCTGGTCTACATGTACTTTTGAAATCTTTAGGTAGTAGTTAATACTGTGTCCTTTGAAGACAACAGATCATGAATTGTGAAAGGTCA